TGTACTCTGTTCTAAAATGAACGTTGCCAGCTACAAATGAGAGTTTCAAATCACTTGCTGCTAGGACACTTTGCCTTTTGGAATATCCCTAATTCTCTCTCATTGCAGCTTAAAAGAATCAAACAGCAGAGAATAGATTTTAATCAAGTAACAGTATCAAACACAGTTTGATATTTCCACATATTGGTGCACGAATGGCCAAAGAATGTCTGTTTTGTACAATCTTGTAATTCCTTCTTCAGCTGAAAACGTAGATAATAAATGCTGGCAATACATAAGACTTGGCTCTACTCAGACCTGCTGTTTGCTATCTTGAAGAGCAGCAGTTATTAATTTTCAGGCATAGTCAAGTGATTTATATTCATGATTATGGTTCAAACCATCATGACACTTGTTCCTTCTAATTCAGACACCTTCTCACTTTCTGCTGTTTGTGTTCACTAGCTATTAAAATAAGAATGAGAGTGTTTGGGGTTTTTTTTTAGGTGTGTTGTTATAACATTTTTCCTCTGATTTAAGGGCTTCCCCACTGAATCATCACCAGCACTTGAGCAATGTGTACTGCACTGACTACACTAAGCCTTTCAGCCATGATTGGTGTAATGAGATTCAAAACAGGTAATTTCTTCTATTCCACTCAGACCTGCAATATTTCTTCCTCTTTCCATACCCTGTATATTCCATTGGAATTCTCATTCTTGTAATCACTATCATGCCTAGTACTGGTGTCATAAATAACCCTGGGATTCTATTTTAAATTATGCCAGACTTTGTTCCCTCCACAGTGTTCTTTGAATGAGGACAAAGGTCTATCACTTAGACACATATTTATCTACAATAAGATAGTTTCTATACAATGTTTAATTGCATTTCTCTGAGGGGAACTACACAGATTTTGAAAATGAACTTTGAATATCTTCTACGTTTCCATGACAATAAAATTATTCCATTGACATTTTTTCTGTATCTGGTTAGTAAACAAAATCAAACTACTCTAGTTGTCAATTGTTATCAAATTAAAGCTACCTTTGAGATGAAGCTCACAGGATCTGATCTGGAATTGTGAGGTGCTTTGGAAAATGAGACAACATTGGATAAATTCAAATTCATTCTCTGCAGAGTCACTTTGGGGGAAAAAATGATTCAATGCTTTTTTTGAGGCTTCCCAGTTCTTTGGCTTGCTCACTTTAGTGTCTGGTGGGAACTCCAAGCCTCTAAAAGCTGCTCAGCATTTCTCCTTCCTTGAATATGAGCAGGGCTGCCCTGAAGGCTCCCAGTTTGCTGAACTGTGATTGCAGAGTGGTTTCAGCCATGCACACATGGCGTGTGGGGAGTAAGGGAGTGTGTTCCCATTGGATCTGTGCTAGATGTCCTTCCCTAGTAATGGCTATGTTCCAGGCTGAACTGCTGAACAAGCAGATTCTTACAGGAATTAAAGGTTGTAATTTAACTGTAAGTGATAACAAGTATTTGATACCAAAACAATGCAAAACCAAATCTCATGAAACTAGAAAAACATAAGCTATTTCTCCTTCCTAACATGGACCTTTAGCTGAAAAGCCAATTATTTGCACAGCTGACAGTGAATACAACCAGGGAGCTAATTCTGACCACCTAACAAGTTTTTCAAGTTGTATGTGATTTAATTAAAAATGGACCTTGTTAAAAACGAAAAGATAAATGTATCTTTTTTAATTAGTGCATTTTTAACGGTGTCTATTCCTAGATTGTTTTCCTGTGCTATTCTCTTTGGTCTAGCTTATGCTCCATGGCTTCTAGCACTACCTCTTACCAGCTGTCAGAAACAAATCAGCTCTTAATTCCTGAAAAGCAAAGCAGGACACAGCAGAGCTCATGCTGTTCCAGCTCTTGATTTAATAGTTTGTGGTTGTCTTTATGGTCTTTGTATCCTTGACTGAAGAGCCTTCCCCATTCCTCCTTCTTGGAGTTCGATATCACACCTTGCCCTGAGAGCTCTGTGGCTGATATCCTTTGTAGCCTAATGAAAATATACTCAGCTGGGAAACCTGCTGCTTAACCCTCTTGTGAGACCTTTTGCTTCTCTGCTTTTATGCTCTCCATTTGCACAAAAAACATTCACTGGGTGATGGATAATAGAGGTTTGTAGCACCATGAATTCAGGAAAGCACTTAAGCAAATGGTTCTATTTGATGGCAGGGTGATTGCTGGCATGGGGAAATAAAGCACATGGATAAATGCTGGGCTGGGCTGAGTACTTTCCTGGAACAGTTAAATGAAATATATATACCTTGGAAAACAGGTATACATCAAATCAACCCCTCAGGCCTCCTAAACCATTGATGACTTCATAATCAACCATTGTTTTTGCTTCAATATATACTCATTTATATATAAACTCGTATCAAAGCAGCATGTTTAGCAATATTTCCACAGCTTATTTGGGCACATGTGGACATGAAAGGGGTGAAATAGCTAAATAGCAGGTATCATTTCAAACCCAGAGTCACTGAGAGTGGTGGCACTGATGTGTATGAAGATGGATGGTCACAGGAGAGCCTCAGTGCCCTGTGTGTATGATTGATTTTCTTAAGTGCTGGCAGAGGAAAAGATGACCATCCCCTCTGTGCTCTGAAAGGACTCATCTCATTCCTGCACTTCACAGTCAAAGTGAGGCGTTGAAAAAGTGGAATAAATTCATGACCACTTCAAAAACTACAAGTGGCGCTTCTCAGCCATTTCTTGTGTATATATATATTTAGAAATAACTTGTAAATACTTTAATAGTATGAAACGAAGTCTGTCCTTTGAAAAATAAAGATTTTCTGTTAAGATCCTTTATATCTTCTGTGAGACAAATACAAAATCCAGTTAGGTGTGAAAGCTTCATATTAAGATTATGATTAAAACCTCTTCCCTATAAACTCCTTTCCATGTCAATCTTTCATCTTTTTTTTCTGCTTTTGGCAGTTCTTATTAGTATCCCATCAAATCTGTTTATATTTGAATGAATGTTTTACACTTCATTCCAATAGAAGTTTTAATGGTCATAAATTTGATTCTCTCCTCTAACCATTTTAATAGCTCTTTTCCACATTGGGAATGTTCAATGACTTCTGGTGGTGCTTAAAGAAGAAATGATAGACAAAGAATGTGAAGGTTCCATGAAGGTTCTTGTAACAAAGATACGGAAAGAAAATAAAAACCATAGTCATGCAACATGGATAAGCTCACTGGCATTTTATGGCTCCTCTTCTCTCATTTTCAGAATCTAATGCTTCACATTGAACCAAAATATTATTAATTAACCAACCATTCCTTGGCTGCACTAATCACAATGAGTTTGTTTAGTCCAAAGAGTGTCTGCAATCTACCTGTAATTATATCTGTACCTGCCATTGGCTGGTCCGATGGCTGCTCAGATTGCAAAGACTGCAATGAACTGATAAGAGCAGAACATAAAGCTTCAGTTTTCATATTGAGCTTTACAGTCAAGAGCAGCAGATGAAGCAACCAGAGGGGCTCTAAGGTATGTCACTCATTTCATTGTATCCATGTTTCTGGAGACCTTTTGCTCACTGCTGGCTATGCAACAGAGCTTATATTTATATATCATAAAGCATTAGTTCCAGAATCTTGGAATCCCAGAATCCCAGAGTCCTGGGAGAAGACCATGAGAAGAAAGAACTGAAATGCAAAGATATAGTTGGGGAGGTGGAGAGGCCTATGTGAAAAGAGCTGTACTATGATCCTAGTGGTCAGAAAACATTTGTTTGATGGAACTGATTGGTGATGCAATTGTATGGGAAAACACTGTAAATGAGCTTTATGAGATAAGAATACATATAGGTTGATGGGTTAGACTTGGAAGAAATGGTAGGGAAGAGTATATAATGACTTAAATTGTTGTTTCATGCCCAAAAATCTTCTAAAGTAGTTTTCATTTATATGGGCCTTCACTAAAACATGTAAGAATGTTTTGATATGCCAGTGCAACACTCATGTCTTCCCACACTTTCTTCATTAAACTGAAAGAACCAATTTCTCTTATTTAAGGCTGTTTGATAAGGTTAAATGTTCTTAACCAAATGTTAAATGCAGTAGTAGCTGCCAATGTGTATTGATCTGGATGCTGGAGTTTAGCTTGAATTAGTTTTATTGCTGGTGCACAGTTCAGTGTTAATGAGACTATGGTGTTCTTTGCATGGGGCTGAGCAGCTGGTTCTGTAGCCAGCACAGCTCCCTTGGCACAGCACACCTTGCTCACAAAAAAACCAAAACCAATTCTAGGGGGAAAAAAACAATTCTGGGAAAACCAGGAGTTTTACCCAGCAGTTAAGGCTCTGATTCCATCTATTTATGCTCCCCCATTTCAGTTGTGATTTCAGCAGCAGCCAGTGTAGCTCTTGTGACAGTTTCTTCTGCTTTCACTGAGCTGCAGCCCCTATGAGATCCTCTGGGTTTACAAACATGATCTGTTCTTCCACTGTGCAAATAAGTAATTTCCCCTGTTGCCTGTGTCTTGCCCTTCCCACATGTCCTGAGCACATTGTCAGAGCTCATTAGTGGTTTAGTCAAGTACATTTTTAGCAAAACCTCCTTTATAAAACAGGATATAGTTGTCTTTGTTCTAAATAAGGAAAAACAAATGTGGAAAAACAAATGGATTTTGTTTCTTTTCCATTTCAGGAATTAAAGTAAGATATAAGAAACTCCATAGTTAATCTCAGGAGAAAATTGTTCTCTGTGTGTAAAGTGGTTTGTAGGGAACCAAATGGATTTCTTAGTGATTGCTCACTAGTGTAGTAGTGTTGTCATCTGTGCTGTGTGAATTGTCCTGGAGATTTATTGCACATAGTCCTTAAGGAGTGCTTGATGCATACCTCAGGATTAGGCAATGTGTTTTCAAACCCGAATCACTTCTAAATGTTTTAATTTAATAACTTATTAATGTAATTTATAGAGTTTTCAAAGCTGTTACTTGTGTTTTCCTTTGACCAATGATGTTTCTCTGTGTCTAGATGGCCAGAAGAAAGTTCAGTGGGCTGGAGCTCAGCCTCATTCCCCTCTTCTGCCTGGTGACAATCATCCTCTGTGTCCTCATTGGCCTTTTAGCATCAGGAACACCTGGAGTCAAATCTCAAGGTAAGTACTTGCCGTGGCTGCTGTAGGACCAGAGCAAAAACCCTGAGTGAGAACTGCTCAGCTCTGCACTCTGTCTCACTCTTCTGTGCTTATCATTATCCAAAGCTGAATCCTGCTCAGTCCTTCCTACAGATAATATTGGTAAAGTTACCAGTTCTTGAATGTAATCAATTGCATGACTCAGAATTTATTGTTGTGAAAAAAGCTTTCATCTCTTCCTGTTTATTGGACTTGCTTTAGGAACATGTCAAAATATTCAAGTGTAAAACAAGATAGCACTGAAAATAAAAGGAAATGGAATTAGGGAGACTATGTAGGAGCAGCAAAATTGTGTGGAACATACATTATAACCCCGAAACCCAACAATAGTTTTTGCTAATATAACCCCTTTTCTTACAGGGATCTCTAGAGTGCACTTGCTTTATTCACAGTTTCACTTGGTGTGGGCAATTCCATTTGCACACAGGGACTGGAGCAAAACTTTTGGAGGTGAAAATGGCAGAAGAATAAAAACAATTGATTATACAAGGCAAACACTTCAGTATTTTAATAAAGCTGCCCTTACAGACTCAGATCTGCATATTTTCCTGTGTCTGGCACGAGTTTGCCTGAGCAAAGAGTCCAAGTGCAGAAATTGCAGCTAATGCAAAGAGGCATGTGTGGGGCTGTGTGTGCATCTCAGCCCCAGGCCACATTTCTACACCTCACAGTCCTCATTCCAAACACATACACTGTTCCCAAATATGTAAAGTAACTGTCAGTGTACTCTTTTGTCTGCTAGAGCTGCCCAGAGGTCACCTTAAATTCGATCCAACAAGCCTGGAATCTAATGGAACATCTTAATGGAGCTTTAAGGTGCTTTTACCTGATGCTCTAATTCAAGCTCCTGTGGAAAGCAGTGGGTCAGGGGAAGGAGAACCCTGACAGCAGCACAGCACCACTTAAGAACAAGAAAAGTCCTTCCAATGTTAATTTGGCCCCTGTTTTCTTAAGAAGCAATATTGAGCTACAGCAGTTACTGAAAACTGGGTTAATATACACCTTAAGGAAGAAAATTATCATTATACCCCATATGTTCTAAAATTTTACAGTGAAGTTGTGCTGTCTCAAGTAATTATGTGTAATTTTTCTAAGGTAAAAATGAATCCCACTAGTTTATACTCATTTGAAATATGTTATGAGCTTCAAGATGGTGAGAAAGAACCAGCAGAAGCAGTTACTGAGTTAAGAGGTATTCAAGTTATTCCTACAGTTTAGAGATCCTGGTAATAACCCATGAATTTATTTCCCTAGGAGAATTTTCCCCACGATGCCCAAAGATACCAGTAGAAGAGAGAATTGACTGTATCCCGGATCAACTAGCAACAGAGGTCTGGAAACACTCTAGAAAACTTTGAAAATAGATTTTTATCCCATAAAACTTCATACTTCATTACAAAAATGGAAGTTGTCTCTACTCTATTAGTAATTTCCTTAAACTTTCTTATCTGGAAATGCCCGAGCATCTTGCAGGGAAGTTCAACTCCTGTAAAAGCCATTTCAGCCCAGAGAGAAAGTCTGATCTTTCTGGCCCCAGGAGCGTTTTGCTGTCAAAGGTTGAAGGCCACTGCCAACATTCTCCCCAGCAGTTTTGTTTGGGGATAGGTGGCAACAAACTTAGTCAGACATCAAGCAGTACAGTGACATGGTCACAGTTTCCGCTCAGAACCAGTCTTGGTCTCAGTGTCTTCCTTTCTGGGTTTCGATGTTTCTTATCCAGGAATGCACACAGCATGGAAATGACTTTCTGGCTTAAGAATCTCTGAGTTTAGATTCCCAGTGAGAAGCATCATCTCAGGTTGGATGGGGCTTGGAGCAACCAGGTCTAGTGGAAGGTGTCTCTGCCCATAGAAGGGGTTTGGAAGTAGATGATCTTTGAGGTCCTTTCCAAACCATTCTTTGATGGTCTTAATTGTTCAGTGCTCTCACATTCAGAATAATTTTGTGATGATCAGTCTTAAAAGACTCAAACTATTATAATTATAATTATTTTTAATCTTTATGATGGATGTCCTCATTTTCTGATGGAAGATTTTAATCTTTATAATGGATGTCCTCATTTTCTGATGGAAGATGGGCGATGCCTGGAATCTGTCCTTAGTTTGGGTGCAGCTTAGGAGGAAAAAATAGTGACTGTATTATAATGTGGGATGTTTGTGTCAATCACAGAGGTCTAAAAAAATTTTAACCAGCTGCCTCAATCTCTGTGGAAATTCCCTGTCTGATTCCAGAAATGAGAGTTGTTAAAGCTTCTGTGATGCCATGGGGTTTGTTATGGATATATAGTTCAATAAAGTCCTGCAGGGGACAGGTTAGTAAAGGTTCAAATCACAGCCTGTTCCTCTCCTCTTTTGGTTTCTTCCCTGCCCCAGGAGCAGGCACACCATGGGAGGAGAAATCATGCAGATCACTTTAATCTTTCATTACTACCTTTGAACCAGTCACCCCACATTAAGTGCTGCACCCATCATACAGGGAGGGAAACAGTGTTGCTCTGCTTGCAACTGTAAGCCTGATTGTAAGAAAGAATTAAAAGTTATCGAATGAGAGATCCCAGCAGAAAAGTAGGGCTGGATACAGATTGGAACATCAGTGCTACTTGCTCTGGAATAAATGGTTCCTGATTATCTTCTTTTCTTAGTGAAGTCCAGGCAGCAGATTTGATGGATTAGAGATAAGTACCACCTTTGATCCATGCCCTAAGGAAAGCTGTTTGATACAGCCTTGTACAGGCCATAGTCCCACCTGTGATTCCATTCATTCTTGTATGCATTTCCTCCTGGAAGCAATCTGGATGTCCTTTGGATTATTCTAATCCACAAACCAGCAGAGCTGTAAAACTACAGGTACCTGCTTACAGTAACCTCACTCCTCTTCTGTAGTGGTTTTCATTAATGGTTTCCAGAATAAACAACAGCTGGGAAAATTATGATTTGCTTAAGCTCATCTGAAAAAGTCAGTGTCTGCTTTGATGCCTTTATTTATTAAGGATGTCTGATGAAAATGAGTAGGATTGCAGAAGAGAGAAGCAAATAGAAGAAAGAATGAAAGAAAAATAGAGAGAAGGAAGGAAAGAAGGAAAGAGAGAGAAGGAGAGACAGAGAAAGATTGAGAGAGGAGAGAGAAGAAGAAAAAAAAATTGTATCTGATTGCATGGTTGGCAAAGATAGTTATGATGAAAGAAAGTAGATATTTATTAACTATACACTGCTGTGGATAATTGCCATGAGCTGTGATTAGACAAACAGAACACACCAGTAAAAACCTGAATTACCATGAGCAGTGCTAGTGTAGGCCAGAGTGAGACCTGTGAGAGCTTGGGCAATGTGCATTGTTGTTTTCGTTTCAGTCTTTTTCTTCCCAAAATATCCTGCTGGTATGGGTCTGTTTGGGTCACATTACAGCATATTTTAGTTCAGTACATAGACAAGCTCTTCCGTTAATCCTTGGTGTTCAGTTCATATTGTGCCTCAGTGTAAACTGTTTCCTCGTATCCAGGCTTATTGCTAGTTAAGCTTTGACTTTTCTTTGATTTTATTTGGTGTTGATATTTATTACACTGGTTTTATAGCTCAGAGCCTGTGATCATATCTTTGTTTATACTAGATGATAGCTTTTATAGCAGCCTCCCAATGTCTTTGGTGAACTATGCTCCTTTCCCTGTGTAGGTGTACCCAATCTTGAACTTTGGTGTTTATTTCCTTGTACCGAAAGCTCAATGTGGCACAAAAATACAGAGCTGCGGCTTACAAATCTGCTAAGATAAGATCTAGCTAGAAAAATGTCACTGGGCTGTAAAGTAACCACTGAAAATAGTCAAGAAGGATTCATGAGGAACAACTGGGGATGCTTAGAAAGTTGTGGATGCTTAGAAAGTTGGGAATGCAGATGCTTGAGCTGCCAGGCCTTAGGAAAATCTGATGTTCAAGTGGTTCTGCATTGCATGATAGTCACAACAGCCATGGCTGCAGGGAGAGGACTAGAGGGAATGGCCTTAAGCTGAGACAGGGCAGGGTCAGATTGGACGTTAGGATAAATGTTTTCCCTATTAGGGTGTTCAGGCACTGGAATATTGCCCAAGGAGGTGGTGGAGTCACCATCCCTGGAGGTGTTTAAGAGGCATCTGGATCTGGTGCTGGAGGATATGGTTTAGGGGTTCCAGCAGTGGCAAGTTGGACTTGATGACCTTAGAGGTCCCTTCCAACCTTAATGATTCTGTGATTCTATTTATGATATTCCCCTATATATGAAGGAAATGAAGTAAGGGAGTAAAGCTGTGATCTCTGCAGTCATGGGAGAGATTGGTGCTTCTCCTTCTTTACAACGGTTTAGAAAATGGGAAATAGGGAGTTCTTGTGGTTTTGTGAAGGTGTAAAGCGAGCATGGGTTTTTCACAGCTTTACAAGATGCATTGATTTGTGGATCAATATGCGGGGAAATGAGTCACTATATCTCTCCTCCAACCATGTTTTTCGCTCGGAACCTAATGAAAATGGCAGCAAACATGTTTTCTGATGTGCTGAATCCATGACATGGAGACAAGCACTTACCCATTTGGTGAATCTGAGTTTTATCTTGGGTGGTTTTGAGGTGATTTCTGTGCTCTGTGCAATCACTATTAAATAAATGCGCTGAGTCTTCCCAAGCCAGTGACACTGTGAGCTCCCTCAGTGCTTTCTTCAGCACTTGCCTGTGCTGGAGTTGCCTTATCTTTCCTCTGTTCAGAGGCTGAGAGAATAATTTAACCTGCACTGATCAGATCGGGCTCTCTAACCCCAAATCAAGTGTCACCAAGGGCAACAGTAATGAAGATTTTGGACCATCTCCACCTGTTTCAAGCTGCAGGATATTTTAAATAAGCATGGCACAAACACAAAAAGCATTTGAGAACAATCAGCTGAAGGCAGAAACAGCTTCTGTTAGTGGGCAGGGGGAGGGGAAAGCCTTGAAGTTGTTCAAGGTGGATTGCCCTTTGCCCTCAGTGAAACTTGAATTACTACTGCCTTTTGCCCTAAATAGTAAGGTGAATTTTTTAGGTGAGAAAATGGGTGAAACCTTATTGGTGTATTGCCCAAATCTTATCTTGAAACATAAAACTCACACTCACAGCAAGTGGATAAGTTAATTTCTAACAGCAAAGCGAAGCAATTTCAGCTATTAGATTACTGAATGGAAGTGTAAAGGTTGGTGCCACTACACTGAGATAGAGGCTTGAAGCCATAGGTTTATTTGTTGATTAATCACAATTTCAGGTTCTGCACAACATTTCTGATATGGGAAATTTAGTTGAAAATGTAGCTATTATACATGATGTTCAATTATACATGTAGAGATGTTTAACCAGGTGCTTATGAGATGTCAAGCCAGCTATAAATTCTACTACCTCTCCAGTTTTGAAGCTGCATCTGTTACAGCTCAAATGTTTCAGTAATTCATAGAGTATTAAGGATTTGGAATGGACCTTAGAGATCATCCAGTCCCAACCCCCTGCCCTGGGCAGGGACACCTCCCACCAGAACAGGTTGCTCAAGAGTTTATCCAACCTGATGTTGAACACTGCCAGGGTTGGGGCAGCCACAGCCTCCCTGGGCAACCTGTGCCAGTGTCTCACCACCCTCAGAGGAAAAATTTCTTCCTAAGATCTAATCTAAGTTCCCCTTCTTTCAATTATTTTCTAATGCTCATTTTGCCTGATGGATCTTCTTGTGTAATAAGCAAGTTTACTCTGAATCCAGGCAAAAATCCTGTTTAGTGTGTTTTGTGAATTCACTCAATAGAGGTTCAGAGAAGAACTTGATCTGATTGCAGATATGATTAAGATTTCTGGGGTAAAATGCACTTCGTGGGCATTTTAACTGTTTTAGTATAGATTTATATGTGTAAATCCAGCTCATTTGTGCCTCTTATGTCCTTTCCTCAGAGCATCTGCACCCTGCGTGGCTGCTGCTGGAGCCCCCAGAGCGAAACCAGTGTGCCCTGGTGTTTTTTCTCTGCAGACTATGGCTACAAACTGGATGGGTCACAAAGACCAACTAAGGCAGGTAAGCTGTGCGCTCAGCTCCCCAGTTCATACATGTGTTGGTGTCTGATTCAACATAATAACGTGTGTTTTCTCGCAAGGATTTGAGGCTACATTACAAAGGCTTCCATCCCCTTCCCTCTTTGGAAAAGACATCGAGACTGTTCTACTCACGGGGGAGTATCAGACAGCAAATCGCTTCCGATTCAAGGTAAATCTTTTCTCCTATGCTGCTTCAAGTTTCATGTTCTCTACAAGATTTGAGCTTGGCCGCTGCTGTGCAGTGAGGTTAGGAGGGCTGGACTGATCCCTCTGAAGAGCTCTCATGATTCCCCCTGAAGCTCCTTTCTCTGTCCTCTGTGTTGTTGCCATTGCATCAGATTAATAAGCATTTAGCAGGGTGGGATTTCTGCATGAAAAATCACTGAGACCTTTGAAAAGCTCAGCTTTTAGATTGTCTACCATTTGTCCTCATCACAGGAACATTTGGGGGACAAATGTATTTATCTACTTTTTATTTATGGCCTGGTCATATCTCTCAATCATTTTGACAGATCACATTAGGTTTTCCAATGATTTCTATTTTCTGTGGAAAACTTCACAGTCTTTTCCATGAATGTGGGTATCAGTGGGTTCTGGGGCTGAGCAGCTGCTTCTGTGGGAGACTTCATCCTGTGGTGGGGTCCTGCTGAGGAGTCAAGTAAAGTAAATATGAGTAAGTAATGTTGGAAGTGAAGAACAATGAAAGCCGAAGAGCAGACTGGGATAAGGGTGGAAATACCGCAAGTCAGAACTATATGTTAATGCTTGAAAATATTTGCAGTAAGGATTAGTTTGTAATGTCCCAATACTTCTGTTCTTTAAACATGTGCAGATCACTGACCCTAACACAAAGAGGTTTGAAAGTAAATATGAGTAAGTAATGTTGGAAGTGAAGAACAATGAAAGCCGAAGAGCAGACTGGGATAAGGGTGGAAATACCGCAAGTCAGAACTATATGTTAATGCTTGAAAATATTTGCAGTAAGGATTAGTTTGTAATGTCCCAATACTTCTGTTCTTTAAACATGTGCAGATCACTGACCCTAACACAAAGAGGTTTGAAGTCCCTCATGAGCATGTGCAATCATTCACTGGATCTGCAGCCTCCAACTTAAGCTACAAGGTGGAACTGAAGCACAACCCCTTTGGCATCGTAGTGACCAGAGTGAGCAATGGCAAAGTCCTGTAAGTAACCTTGGTGCTCGTGCTGCATGACATGGGTGTCACTAGTGTTCTCTGAAAGCTGATGTTGCCACACAGGATGCCATGTGTGAGGTGTCCTCTTGGACACAGTCTACTTCTCTTTTGACTGATGGATGTTGTGCAAAGACTCTTGGGAGGATTTTGCTGCAAACTCTCTGATATGGAGAGATTTGTCTGAAAGGATCAAGGTCCGTCTCTGTTCACATTTCACCAATGCCAGGGAAATCCTTACAGCTACTTTATTTCATGAATTTCATGAATTTTATTATCTGAAGGACTCCTTGCCAGTGCTTGAAATCATGTGGGAAAACTCCTGATTGCATCTTCTTTGTTATAATCAGGTTGAAACCCTGAATCACCAAAGCCAATCGCCCTTTAAAATTATGACATCCAACAATTGCTGGTGTGAGCCACTGTTAAACTGCTCATTTTAGGCTATAAGGAAAATATTTGACAGACTGTACATTGAGTTCTTTCACCCCATTTAAGTTCTACTAAATAAATAAATAAACCAACCCTCCCAAGCCACTGGTGTGGCTCTAATAGTCATTAGAGAGGGGAAGTGTCAGGATGAACATGCTTATTAAATCAGCCCAAGAATGATTACCTGTCACAGTGCTAGGCCAGTTGGATTATCAAGGCTTCAAGTTTAATTAATTAGGGGTTACTTTTTGCTCTTATTAGTATTGTTTTCTTGCTTAGAATCCTCTGTAATGATTGATTTGCAATTATAGAGAGCACGGAAGATGAACTTGGTATTCAGTAGTGCATGACTGATTAAAGAGGTATATGGAGGGGGAATAAGAAACCTGGTCCAACGGAATAGTGTTGGAACAGCTCTGGAATATTGTTTGTCTTTTCCTTAGGCCTTTGTTTAATTTGATGAAAGTGGTTGCATTTTGGTCTCTAGAGACAAACATTGCGAGGATGTACCAAACCCCTAATTATTCAGCTAAGTTTGTGACCTTCCAGCATCATTTGTCACACTTGAGCCCTCAAAAGAGTCAGAGTTCTGTTTAACTTGATAAAAGTGGTTGCGTTTTGGCCTCTAAAGAAAAAATTCACAATGGTATTGGACTCTGAGTTTGAGTGTCTCAAAGGAAGTTGTTGTTAGCATGATATAAGGGCAGCCCCTCAGAGGGAAATCCTTTATAAACTTGTTTGCACAAGCTGAGTGCTTTTCCCAGAGTCTTAAACAGCCCAAGCACAGGGAGACCTCCTTGGAAAAGAAAGAATTTGGACCATTGTGTTACTGTAGTTCACAGCCAAAACCTTAGTTATCCAGATAGTTACCAAGTCTGTGAACTTCATCAGCATTTGTCCCACTTGAGACCCCCAAAAAGTCAGAGTTGTGCTGGATCTATTGCCATCGTCGGTAGAGACAACCTGAAAGATCTGGATGGAGAAATGATCCTGCTATCCAACTCTAACTAAAAAACATAGAATCATCAAGGTGGAGGAGACCTTTAAGATCATTGAGTTTAACCATTAACCTGTCACTGCTGTAACTCCTAAACCATATCCTCCAGCCCCAGATCCTGAGGCCTCTTAAACACTTTCATGATTGGTGACTCCACCACCTCCCTGGGCAATATTCCAGTGCCTGACCATCCTGACAGAGGAAAATATTTTCCTAACATCCAATCTGAATCTCAAACAAATAGTTATTGCTACAATTCTTAGTAAAATACTCTTTTTTCCCTTTTATTTTTACCTTGTTTCATCAGGTTTGATACAAGCATAGGCCCCCTGCAGTATGCTGACCAGTTTTTACAGCTATCCATCAAACTTCCCAGCGCCAACATCTATGGAGTGGGAGAGCATGTGCATAAGCAGTACCGGCACGATGTTAACTGGAAAACTTGGCCAATTTTCAACAGGGATATTGGTCCCTCTGCAGTAAGTTCGGGTTTATTTCACCTCAGTTTTGCAGTTCCCTGACCCAAACCTCTGGTGCGGTAGACACATTAATGTATCAGCTGAGTTTTCCCCAAAGCCTTTTCAGGCCCTGCATGTTATTACTAAAAGCTCCATGGTACAGATGAATGTCCCCTGATTTCTGATTTCTGTGTTGGTGTGCAGTTGCAAGCCAATTGATAAACACTGAGAGATGAGAGTCTTCAGTTTCCACTGATAAGCAGAATAAATATCAGTATGTGCTAATGCATTGCTGTGTGCAGGGTTCAGTTCAGATGGCACATGCTGCTTCAGTAACAGCTTGTAGTTCATCAGTGATGGGAACAGTCTCCTTAGCACCTGTTTCTTTACAAGATAAAATATGTCAGCTGTCAATTGTTTCTATAGTTTTTCTGAATGTCTCTTTAAATTTCTAATAGACTCGTTTTTTGATAATTGCAAGAATATTAGTCACTATTACCTCAGTTTCATAGAGCACCAACCCATGGTCTTTACTTTGAGTGAGCAATTCAGTGTTTCACTGAAATAGAAGCTATATGCACAGAAGTTAGGGGGTGAGAGGGACTATATGTAGTTAATTAATAATTTTGGATTTGTACCCATTACCTTGAAACTCCTCCTCACTGCTTTCTCTGGTTTGAAGATAGTTCTTAGCTGAATGGCTCCATGGAGTGGAGACTCAGTAAATTAAGCTAACAGTGAAGAAAATCAAGGTGGGCTGATTTCAAACTGCTCACATTCTGTTTCTTGTAAATTTGATCTGAGTTTTATTTTGAGGAAAAACAGCACAACTATTGCAGCAGTTGTTAACACCTCTAAGGGGTTTTGTTGCTAATAACAGCAGAAGGAAAAACACCTTAGAAAGGAAATACAAAAGAAGCAAGACACTCATATTTCCATAGATTAGCCATAAAAATTATTATCCTGCAGGATTAATAGAAATACAGATCAGATGTAAAATCTAATCTATGGTGAAAAGTGATGAAAGCACCTTTGAAATTCTGCTGCTCACTTGATGTGCACATCTATTGCCCAGAAATAGTGCTGCAGTATCTGCTGACTTGCCTGAAGATCCATCACATCTGCTTTTATCTGTGTGGAAACTTTTGTTTGCGTGGAAAATGTTCTCATAAAGGAGAAGAATGCCAGAAAAGAGAAAAAAAAGCAGTAGAAAAGTGTCAGGGTTGAAATTCTGGTTGTTTGCTCTACTTTGAGTCTTTTCAAGTTCTACCTGTGATATATTTTGAACTCTCCCAGAACAGGTATTGTTATTAGATTTTAATCATCTTACTTATTCTTTTTTCCATTTTAGGCGTGGAAAATGTTCTCATAAAGGAGAAGAATGCCAGAAAAGAGAAAAAAAAGCAGTAGAAAAGTGTCAGGGTTGAAATTCTGGTTGTTTGCTCTACTTTGAGTCTTTTCAAGTTCTACCTGTGATATATTTTGAACTCTCCCAGAACAGGTATTGTTATTAGATTTTAATCATCTTACTTATTCTTTTTTCCATTTTAGGAAATGCATAACTTATATGGAGCTCAAACTTTCTTCCTGTGTTTGGAAGACAAGACTGGAGCCTCCTTTGGTGTTTTCCTAATGAATAGCAATGCCATGGGTAAGAAAACTTTGTCTGTAGCGCTGAACATTGCAGTTCAATATCTTTTTTTTAAATGATCTGATGGGTTGGGATAGAAACTGAGCTGATGTAGATGTCATTTCTTAAAAATTAATGTGGCATGGAACATTTTAAAGGATGCTGCCTCAGATTTCTCATGGTCGTAACAACTGTAAGTGTTTAGTAGGATTCCACATACACTATACAAATCGTGAGTTGCTCAGTTAACTGGAAGACTGTGATGGAAAACTGAGGGTCAGAAACCTATCCAAAGGGTTTATAGCTCTGCACTGGAATAAGAGACTAAATTTAGAGTGAGCAATACTTACAAATAAATGTCCTTTGGTCCCTTTCAATAAATATGTATATATTTGTGCTTTACAGAGCTCTGCACATCTTCGGACTGGAAAGTTGTACTAAAATTTAAGAGATAAAAGATTCAACCACTAGATTTCTTCTGATTCTCTTTGTAGGATTGAAAGGGATGGAAATATGGACATTTATGAGTAATTTGTGTACATTTCCCCTTCATTGCACATTGAATGACTAGTTTTAGGTTCCTTAGGTATTTTTGGTTGCATTTGTTTCTTATGTAATTTTTCTAACCATCGATTAGCAAATGACACAGCTCTTTTAGAATTTTCTGGTGTTCAGAATTGGGTTTGTACACTCTTGTGTGGCAGAGTTTGGGGTGCAACCTGCTCCAGCTGTGACCTACAGAACCATCGGCGGCATCCTTGATTTCTACGTCCTCTTGGGGGACACTCCAGAACAAGTAGTCCAGGAGTACCTGAAGGTACCTTTAGCTACAGAGATTATTCATTTAGCAGATTTTTTATTTAAGTGCTTGGGATTTGTTTTAATTCTTTTGTCTCTGGCTATGACAGAGTTTATGCTGTTATCTATCTGTTGTCTATTCACAGAAAACATGACTCAGTATATAACCAAGAATAACTCTTAGTATGCCAATAATATGATTGCTGTCATTAGCAGTAGCTAAATTTGTGTTAAGGTGAGGTGTATATATTTTTAGATGACCTGTTATAGGTAGCTGAAATGTAAGCACTACTTCTGCAGGAGATGCTGGAGTGGATACCATGCTTAAGCCCCAAGAACTCTGTGGCTGCTAAATTCATCAGTCTATAAGGCCTGAATGATTTACACAGTGGCCATTAGAGTTAGAGATGGTCTACAAGGAATAACTTGTGTTTCCTTGCCCAATGTTATAAGGCCCAAATCCTGTTTATAAGGCAATATTGTAGGATAGAGAGTGTGGTTATAGCTATGTCATGATTTTATGATCATAAGATATGACTGGTATGTTTTGTATTTCTTGAGACCTGCTTATGTTCCAGTGACATTTAAAGAATGGCCCTTGTTCCCAGATTCTTTTATTTATTCAAATAGATTTAAAACCCATAGGAAAATGCTGCATTTGGGAGTGAATTCTCAGTTTAGTGTATCATGCTCAGTTAGTGTGTATTATTCAAGTGAATTTGAGGAGTATGGATCTAGGGGAATGGACACTGACAGCACGTGGGATTTTTGCTCTCCCCTTGCAGCTCGTGGGCCTGCCAATGATGCCCCCCTACTGGAACCTGGGCTTCCAGCTCAGCCGCTGGAATTATGGCTCTCTGGATGAGGTGAAGAAAGTTGTGGCGAGGAATAGAGCTATTGGACTCCCCTATGTAAGTATGGGCTTTGAGGAGGGCACAGCTCTGCAGGAGGAAAAACCCAGAGATCCCGACCATAGTGTTCTGCATCTGGTTCATTTCCCAGCAGTTTAAATTGGGAAATTTCTGGTGTCCTAGGATTTTGTGCATGTTAATGGCAGATCCACTATCAAAATGTGGACATGGTGGCAGCCTAAACTGCTCTAAGTGTTATTTGAGCACTTAGTTGTAATGTCTTTTCAGTTATACTTTCCAACTGCATCCACTTACCTCCTCATGTTACCTAATCCATGAGATACTAGTTTTTATTGTCCTGTGGACAATTACAGAACCATCTATTATTCCTAATTGACACTCAAAGGTAAAGTACAACTACCTTTTAAAATTAGGTTTTAGATGACACTAGCTGGATGGCTTAAATAGAATAAAATTGTCCTAATATTAAGCTAAGAGGTGTGGAAGAACTCTTTGGATTTAAAGGGATAGCTCTGGAAGTCAGGGAACTGCAACAATATGGCCACATATAGAATCATCAAGGTTGGAGGAGACCTCTAAGATCGAGTCCAACCATTCACCTGTCACTGTTGCAACCCCTAACCCTAGGCCATATCCTCCAGCATCAGATCCAGGGATTATGCATGTCCAGAGGTTATTTGAAAGGATGTCAATATATGCATTCATTTAAATTCTGTTCACTTAAATTCAGCTCTTTTTAGGCATGAAAAGATGTGTCAGAACCATTAATTAGGGCTGTAAGTGCAAGGTGAGATGCAAATGGTCCTGACAACAAACTTTCTGCCAAGCTGCAGGGAAGTCCCAACAGTAAATTTGCAATGAAGTCCCAAGAGTAAAATCACTGTAAAACAAACAAGGATTGTAAAAGCAAATTATTTTGGACTAATATAAAAAATCTTTGCATATCACTTCTCCTGTTAAAGCTGAACTCCTTTCTCTTTCAGGATGCCCAAGTCACTGATATTGACTACATGGAGGGAAAAAAAGACTTTACTTATGACAAAGAAAACTTTCAAGATCTCCCTGACTTTGCAGCTTACATGCATGACTATGGACAAAAATATATTATTATCTTGGTAAGCATTTACTGACTGTTTTTCCCTTGTAAATACCCTCATTAGAACTATTTATGATTATACTTTGCTTGCTGTATGTAATTATTGCATTTATTGCCTAGAATAATTGATGGAGTTCATCCTGGGTTCTGCTTTTACTTTTGTTTTCTAATTTTGTTTTAGGATCCAGCTATCAGTACACAAAAACTTGCTAATGGGAGTGCATATGGAACCTACGACAGGGGAATGGCGAAAAACGTGTGGATTACTGAGTCAGATGGAAAAACAGCATTACTTGGGGAGGTAATTGTGGGTTTATGCATTCAAACTCGTACTGTTGTCACTGTTAGGGTTTAATTTAGATCAGGAGCTCATTTGAAACTCTCCTTTTCTCAATTGCTGCATTCAGTAAAATTCCCTAACAGTGAGAGCAAAGTTTAGAAGATCTCACCCTTTCCTGCCTTTCTTTGTTCAAATTTTTACATTAAAAAGGTAAATTTTTTAAAGTGAATTTATTTTCCCCATTTTCTACATTTTAATTTATTTTTTTATAAAAATAGAATTCCATTACAATTAAAAATGCATTTCTTCACAGGAACTGTAATTTTTTTTTT